GGGTCTACCCCCCCCAGCGTTCCGGGTCGTGGTGGGCTCTGCCCCCCAGCATGCCAGGTTGTGGCGGGCTCTGCACCCCCCGCAGCGTGACGGGTCATGGCAGGCTCTGCACCCCCCAGCGTGCCGCTTCGTGGTGGACTCTGCCCCCCAGCGTACAGGGTCGTGGTGGGCTCTGCGCCCCAGTGTGCCAGGTTGTGGCTGGCTCTGCCCTCCAGCGTGATGGGTCGTGGCGGGTCTGCCCCCCCAGCGTGCCGGGTCGTGGCGGGCTCTGCCCCCCCCACAGCATGCCGGGTCGTGGCGGGCTCTGCCCCTGCCCCAGCGTGCCGGGTCGTGGCCTCTCATTGGCAGGGAGAGAAGATCTTCTATCTCATCAAGCCAGCTTCAGCCAACATTTCCCTCTATGAGCGCTGGCAGTCGGCCGCGAACCACAGCGAGATGTTCTTTGCCGACCAGGTGGACAGATGTTACAAGTGCACCCTCAAGCAGGGCCAGACGCTCTTCATTCCCTCGGGTGAGCGCCCCATCCCGTACCCCATTGTTACTGCCAGGCTCCCCGCCTTTGCCCTTGCCCTGGGGCCTCCTGCTCCGCCGTGACTATGGCATCCAGGGAGTGGGCTCCTGTCCGAGGCTCGTGTCCGAGGATGATCTAGGGGTGCGCCCACTCTCCTGGGCTTTGGCAGTTCGACCTCGGCCCCTCACCCTGTGTGTGGGGGTTGCGGGTGCTGGGCAGGCGGGGCCGGTTTCTTCAGTTCCTGGGTTGGTGCCAGGCAAGAATGCCAGCGTGGACACAGGCTCTCCTACCGGGAGGGCCCAGCCACCCATCACACGGCGGGAAGGGTGTGTGTGGGCAGCCAGCCAGGGTGGACGGGGGCACCAGGGCAGGCTGGAAGATGCCAAGCTCATGCCGGCCGGGGTCAGGCCAGGCGGCGGCTGCGAGCCCGGCCTGAGAGCGCGCTGAAGGGCTAGCCACGTCCCTGCCTCGCCAGGCTGGATTTACGCCACGCTCACACCTGTGGACTGCCTGGCCTTCGCGGGACATTTCCTCCACAGCCTGAGCGTGGAGATGCAGATGAGGTAGGGCCACATCTGCCCCAGTCGCACCCAGCCGGGGTCCCTGCTGCCAGGCCGGTGTGGTGGCACTCCCCTGAGTTCTGGGTGTGCCATTAGCCTCTTCTGTGGTCCTGCCAGGGCCCCTGGGTGACCTGGTTCCTGGACAGCCTCTGTGGCCCTTGGAGGGTGTGGGGTGAGCTGAAAGGCCTCTTCCCGGGCACTGGCCGCAGGGCAGTCATTCCGACGTGGTCCCCTGTTCCACCCAGCCATGCAGGGTGGGGGGCAGAGTGGCACAGCCTTGGTGTGGCCTTCTCCTGGCTGTGATACGGGCTCATCCTTAGTGTCACTTGCTCAGTGCTGAGTGCCCTGGACAATTGTTTGCTATGGTTTCCAGAGCATACGAAGTGGAAAGGAGGTTGAAACTGGGCAGCCTGACTCAGTTTCCCAACTTTGAAACAGCCTGCTGGTACATGGGGAAGCACCTGCTGGAGGCGTTCAAAGGTATGGGTATGCAGCTTGGCGTCTCTGATGGTGGCTCCAGGTGGCTGGTTTGCATATGGGGCTGGGGCATGTGGGGGTGGGTAATGGCTATGGCTTCGTGCAGCCGGGCGGCCAGACCCTGGGGTGGGCTGAGCCCTGCGGGGCAGCGTGAGGCCGGATGGCATCCCGCAGGGCTGTTGATGTTTTGGAAAGAACGCTGGGATGTGTGTTCCTGGGCCTGGCATGCATAGCCTCACGTGACTGCTGATGGGGCTCATTCCGGTTGTCGAGAGGCCTGGGGGTCTGCCTGGCTCTGGGCTTGCAGCTGAGGGACCCCTGTGGCATCCCTGCCCTCCACCCCTGGCCTTCAGGGTCAGTGCCCGGCCCCCAGCAGCCGGGCTGCATTCCCCCCGCAGGCTGAAGCCACCTCATCTGGAGCCCTTTGTACTCGGGCTCCTGTTTGAGATGGGAAGGCTAAAGAGATGGATCTTGATCTTGCCTGGTCAGGTTTCAGTGAAATTTGTCCATCCCCAAATTCAGATCCCTGAGTTTCACCCTGGCAGAGGGCGTGCCTAGGAGCGAGCCCATGGGGGCTGCCCTGGGGGCCCATGGCAGGGAGGTGGGCTGGGGCAGTGTGGACAGAGCCAGACCCTGGGGATGGCCTGATGGATGACCGCTGACCAGCTGGGTCTGCCCCTCCGTCAGGGGCCCAGAGTAGCAGCCAGTCCCCTGGTGGCTCAGAGGTCCGGCGGCTCTGCCTCTGCAGTGAGCTCCCCGGCCAGAAGGGGGGCACTTGGCACCTTCTCTGCGGGGCTCACCCAGCCCCCAGGGGCGTCTCAAGAGGCGGTGCTTGTCCCCGTGGCCACAGTGGGAGTCCCAACTACCACCACTGTGCAGAGGCCACGTGAGGTGTGGGTACATCTGTGGCCCCTCACTAAGGTGGGCTGGGGGACAGGCGGAGGGGACAGGCCCTGTGGGTGGACGGTGGGAGGGCCGGTCCTGCCCCTCACAGGGCATCTCGGACAGGTCCCCGAGGTTCCAAGACGGACCGTTGGCAGTTGGGCAGGTGGCAGTGGGTGGAGGTCCAGCCCTGACCCCACCCATACCCACCGTGTGAGGTCACCTGCAGGCGGCACACACTCTCCTGACCCAACCCCTCTACCTCCCGCCAGGTTCTCACAAGTCTGGGAAGCAGCTGCCCCCCCATTTAGTCCAAGGAGCTAAAATTCTCAATGGTGCTTTTAGATCATGGACGAAGAAGCAGGTAGGGAGGTGGGCCAGGTTGTCCCCGAGCAGAGGGGAGCGTGGCTGGTGGGGAGCCCTCCCCAGTGCTGGTCCTTCCTTTGCTGGGTGCCCCTTGCCCACCTGCAGTGGAGTGGGGGTGCTGGAAGCAGTTCCTGGCCTGAGGGCTGGGGGCCGGGAGGCCTGGAGAGTCCGTAGGAGGAGGGTGGGTGGCGCTGAGTGCACCTGAGGGGCGGGGGCAGGGTTGGACTCAGGGCGGGAGATGGGAAGAGCCTCTTGGCCTCCCTGGCCAGCCTAGGCATCAGCTCAGAAGTGGGCTTCACTCTCTGATGTGGGCCTCCCTTTCCACTGTGTCCCCCCATTGTGCCCCCTGTAGCAGCATGGCATTTTACCCCCCAAGGTACCCCTGACAGTATGCCCAGTGCCCTCCATGGCCCCCCAGCAGCACTGTCCTGTCCCCCCCAGGGTCCCCCCAGCAGCACTGTCATGTCCCCCCCCAGGGCCCCCGCATC